GCCGTCGTGCTGTTCCAAGACTGCCCCAATGCCATAGCCGGAAGCGTCCGTAGTCACTCGTGTCGGCAGGGTGGGGTCATAAATGCTAAGGACGGGTGCCATGAGCATAGCCGTCTTAAGTGCTTGGAATGACCGGTGTGCGTCGTCATCGAATACGAATGGCACCTTTGGCGATTGTAATCTCGTCATAGGTGCAGCAATCCTCGAGTATCCGGTGATGAATCGATGATAGTAACCCGCCAATCCCATGAATGAACGAACGTCCGTGGTGTTGGTGGGCTCGGGCCATACTCGTAGGGCCTCAATCTTGTCCGCAAGCGGACGGATGCCTTGCGGTGTCACATAATGTCCCAAGTACTCCAGCTCCTGCCGCGCGAATTCGCACTTGTCGCGGTTGACGTTGTACTTGGCTTGTCATAACCGCTCCAAAACGGTGCGTAGGTGTTCCACATGCTCATCCAAACTCCGGCTGTACACCATGATGTCGTAGAGGTAGATAAGTACGAATCAATCCAGCATGTATCGGAACTCCGTTGCCATAGCCACTTGGAAAGTGGCCGGGGCATTCGTAAGGCCTAATGACATAACCAGCCATTCGAAATGCCCATATCGCGTCTTAAACGCGGTCTTGTAGCGGTCCTCCTTGTGAATCTCGAGTTGGTGATATTCTGACTTGAGGTCAAGCTTGGAGAAGAACTTGGCGCCGCCCAGTCGTTCGAGAAGGTCGTCAAGAGGACCGACGTTTCTTATCGTCTGCGCGTTGAGCGTGCGATAATCGATGCACAACCTCTAATCCTTGTTCTTCTTCCGGACGAAAAGAACAGGAGCATCGTATGGCGATGAGCTAGGTCGTATCCAACCTTTCTCTAGAAGGTCGTCGAGTTGTGCCCGTAGCACACTTAACTCTTCCTCACTCATTCGGTAGATGCGACCACGCGGAGGGACGGCTCCGTCCTCGAGGATGATCTCGTGGCGGATGGGGCGATCCGGTACTACTCCATGTGGGCCTTCGAGCACGTCGCCGTAGACGTCGAGAAGCTCGGTGATGCGTGGATCCGAAGATGAGTCCGTCGGTGAAGCGTCATGGGGCGGGAGGGTGTGGAGAAAACACACCCCCATCACCTCGATGTCATCTCTGATGATGGAAGCTCGCATGCTTGCGGCGGACACCACGTGACAGCTGATTGAAGAGTGAGGAGGAGCTACCGTGCATGGGACTAGTACTCCGTTCCGCTCACGAATATGAACGGTGCGGCAGTAGAAGTTCACCGGGTGATCCTCGGTTCGCAGCCATGACATGCCCAAGATCATGTCGAATTTGGTGTCCAGAATGTCAAAGGACACCGCCTCACTTGCATGAGGGGCAAAGTACACTGGGAAGTCATCAATGCACCGGTCGATTGACTTGTGCATGTGACCGTCCGCCAACATGACTTGCGTGGGCCGGGACTTCCTTCGGACTCGTGGGCCAAGGCCGGCGAGTACCATAAAGTCCTGGCTCATGTAGTTGCGAGATGCTCCGCAATCGATCAAAGCGCTGCAAGTCGCCTCTCCGATCTGAATGCGTACATATAGCAATGGTGCGTCGATGTCGTCGTACCGTTGCGTCTTGAACTCGCGGTCGATCTTCGCAATGTAGGCGTAAAGGTCGACAACCTCTACTCCGGCGTCCATCAACGGAGTTGGTACTGCAGTGTGGAAGTAATCCCGCAATTGTGCCTTGAGCAAGTTGCAATGCGGTTTCGGCAATCGACCGGACTGGGGAAGGGGCATCCATTGGAAGTCCACAAATGTCAATGGGTCGATCTCTTCAAGTCTTGACCATGACGTTGAATCCCCGGCGGTAGATGGCGGCGAAGCTGCCGAATCGGTTGCCGATGGTGATGAAACCGTGCATGCAGTACATTGTTGCACGTGGAGGGGTTGGTCCAGCGGTGGGACCAAGTGGACAGCATAGTCCTCGTAAGCATACCGAGAACTTACGACATTCGCATCCTCCCCAGATGTGTAGGAGGCCGCTAGTAAGGCGGCCGAATCTAGCGGAGTGGGGGGTGGAGTCGCCTCACCTCACCCAACACTTAGTTTCCCGAGTGAAGACGAGGCCGCACATCCTACTTGGCCTGATCCTGGCAAAGGGAGGTCTTGTGCTTGGTGTTGTTGCACCAGTAACAGCAGCCGTAACGGCCGCGGTACTTGTACTCGGCCTCGGTTAAGTTGAACTTGACTCATGGTGTTGGCTGTCCGTTTCCGGCCTGCGATGATGGTTTCGCCTTCCCGTTCATTCGGGGCTTGTTGTTGCTTCGCGGCTGGACAGCAGCCACCTGATCTCCCTCACGTGACGCTTGGGTTGCTGCCGGGTCTTCCACAGTGTTGTCCGATTGGACTGCAGCGAACTGCTGCTGTCGCGGACCAGTTCTCACCTTCTCTACATAGGTTGGCTGCCACGTTGACTTCTCGTGTGCGGCCACTCTGTTGGTCTTGATGATCTCCCTCGCCTTGTCAATGATTTCGGCGAAGGTTGCATATTGCTCGCGATCACCAAGTGCGAGGCTCAATGCAGCACATGACCTGTTATAGAACTCGCGACGCAGATGTGGAAATGGTAAGTCCACATCGGGTGTTGCCGCGATCTTCTGCCATTCCGTGAGCCAGTCACGTGCTGCTGTGTTGCCTTGCGTCATGGCGAAGAGACGGTTGATGGCGAGTGCAGGTTTGTCGTCCACGATGAACCGCTTCTTCCATAGCCGTGTTAACTCTTCCCATGAGATCTTGTCTTTCAGATCTGCGACGTCGACACCGTGGGTGGATGCCAGGTGGCTTAACCAGATCTGGCATCCGCCCTTTGAGTTAAGAAACAGGGCGCCGACGTACGCGTGCTTGGCGACTTGCAGAATCCGAAGTTGTGTCGTGAAACCTTCCCACCAGAGGACCGGGTCCTGATGTGTGGAGTCATTGAACTTCTCAATTTGAAAAGTTGGCATCTTGTAATGCTGTGTGCTGCTGCCATTCTTGTTAGGCAACTGCAGTTGTTGGACCTTGGTCTTCAAGGTATCCAGCTGATTGCTGATGGTGGTCGGCTCAGCGAAGGTGCTGATGTCGCTGAGCATTGCGACGACATAGTCTACACGTTCCTCCAGTTGGCGGTTAGAGGGTGCACTGCTGGACACACCAGCATCTGGTCCGAGTACAGCTTGCTCCAGGTCCAGTACACGGGAATTGAGTGTCCGTGTAGCATCCTCGTGGCTCTACACTGTCCGGCGGAGGTTCGCCAACTCCTGGAATTGTTTCTTCAGATCCTGGTACTGTTGCTGCAGTTCCTGGTTCTGTCTCTCTAACTCGGATTGTTGATAGTTGCAAGCGTATAACAACCGTGTCACGAGTTTGGAGAGAAACTCCTTGTGCTGCTCCTCCGGTGTCGCGTCGTCGCCGTTGGACGGTTGAAAGTGCCAGAACTTGAGTCTTTCGATGCTGGCGGCTTCATGCCGCTGCAACAGATCTTAAGCTTCCTTGCGGCGTGCCTGGGTATCTGCGTCTGCTTCGGCCTGTAGCCCCTGCTTCTCAGCTATTGCCGCTGCTTCAGCCTGCAGGCGGGCAGCCTCGGCTGCCAGCTGGCGCTGTTCCCCAGCCTCGATCAATGCGAGCTGAGTCAGGAACCGCTGTTTGTAGTCGGCAATAGACTCGTTGGCCAGTTGGCCTGGCATGCCCAGAGTTCGCCCGTCATGGTGGCAGGGCACTGCTGACGTGGCACTGCTGCTGACATGGCACTGCTGACATGGCACCGCTGACGTGGCACTGTGGCTGACGTGGCACTGCTGACGTGGCACTGCTGATATGGCACTGTGGCTGACATGGCACTGCTGACGTGGCACTGTTGCTGACGTGGCACTGCTGACGTGGCACTGTACCAACTCGGAAATGCATGCAAAGGGTGGGTGGGAAGGGAAAAACGTAGGTAGGGAACCAACCCAATAATACTTTCCTCCCGGCCCTAATCAACAGATAAAAAATAAAAATAAAAAAAATAAAAGAGGACTACTTCCTTCTTTTTATTTTATTTTTTGTATATCTGTCGATCTGTTATGAGTGAGACATGTCAGAGGAGTACTATGAACGAGATCTAGGCTAGGTTCCGCAAAGTTCCGGCTTTCAAAAAATGCGATCTTTGAAAAAAAATAATTTGCGAGATAGAATACAGATGCGATTTTCAGAAAAGAACTAAATCCCGTTTCTGAGAATATGGCGACCTCCGAATATGCCTATCGAAATGTTGGTAGGTTTTGCATGATTTCGGTTTTCAAAAAAAAATTTGTGAGATAGAATGGAAATTCGATTTTCAGAAAAAAATAATTCCAGTTTTCGAGAATATGACCACTTCTATCGTTATCCCAATATGCCTAGAAAATGAAATACTAACCTCAGAAATTTTCAGCTATGTATGCGAAATATCAGAGAAACGAAATGCTACTATCAGGAATTTTCAGACAAAACGAAATGCGATTTATCATAAATTTTCAGATATTTGTTACGTGAAAACGAAATACCAATATCAGAAATTTTCAGGTAAAACGAAATGCGAATATCAGAAATTTTCAGATAGTTGTTGCGAGAAAAAAAAATTCAGAGATTTGACGAAGTCCTTCTTGATTTACTAATGAGTAATCAATAGATCGGCTACTTAATTGAGCGGGTCCTCTGAATGAGAGGTCCGCTCCGATACCAAACTGTTGCATACTGTAACGGTGCAGACCAGAACAAGAACCGACCTCTCAATACAAAGTACAAGATAGCGTAGCGGAAGACTTAGATACCAATGATCCATACATCACCATCATCGTTCCATGGTGTGAAAGGGGTCTGGCGCTTCACACAGGAAGACTGCACCAGCCCCAACCATACACAGACGAARAAGAAGGGGGTTAGACGAAGAGGAGGGGAAGATGGGAATGTCGTCAACACCAAGTCTTCGGCACAGGCCCAAATAGTCCCTCGTCAAAATGTCTGAATCCCAAATGTCGAGTCTGGATCCAATGTCGTCAAG